CCCTGGCGTGCACTGAAACACCACTGAGGGTGCTGAGATTTGAGCATAAGGGCCTTCTGCCATTGACTGGGTTCAAACTGAGTGAGCTGGGAATTTGCTGAGAGCCCTACAGAAATGCGTCTCAACGTAAATTCTTCTAGAAGAGCTCTGCAGTGCATGGGGTTGTGTTGCAGTGAAGCACTAAAACAGCCACCGTCTGAGCGTGATTTTTGTTTTCTGTATGAATTAATCCAAACTAACAGCTTGCTGTGCTGAAGGGAAAATCTCTGTAGCTGAGACAGGAGACACTCTGCTCATCAGTCTGTACGTGAGTGTATTGCATACAGCAGCTCTGGTCTGTCCATGCAATCGCTTGCAGCTGACAGTGTGAGCAACCACAGGCACGTGGTGGTGACCCCTCCACAAGATCTGAGCTGCAGGTTGTGCTGCCAGAACCCCATCTGGCTGCCTGTTAGGTTCCCTCACTGTGGCTTTTGGTGTCCTGCTGTGGGAAGCCTCATGCGTGTTTCCTTTCTTGTCACTGCTCCTTAGAACTGGGGCTGAGCTCTGTGTTGTAAAGATGGTTCTGGATTTCAGGAGGGGGGATTGCTGCAGAGCAGGTTTGGAGCAAAGCACTGCTGGAACCGAGACCTCCAGCGTAGAGAGCCTGAGCTTGGTTGTCTTCTGGTTTGGGCTTCTGCCTCCTGGGTTTGTGGAGGATGGAGAGTGACCATGAATGGGGCTCAAGCCTGCTGTGCATTGCAGGCTGGGCCGTGTCCTTAGGGGACCCTGAGCACAGTTTCACCCTCAGAGCTGCCTGCAGTACGTGTGAAGCGGTTCAGGCAAGCCCTGCTATGAGGCTGAATGCACGCAGGACCCAGCAGGGCGAGGAGCCACTGTCAGTGTGCTGCATGCAGCTGCTGTGCTTCTCAGGGAAAAATTCATTCCCCAGATAGCAGGGAATGTTTTCTAAACATTCCTCTTCCTTCCTGTGTCTAGAGACCTGCTCTGTAAACTCTGGGTCCTGTCAGTAGCCCCCTTTGGGTCCCTGCTCTGTTTGCTGACTGTCTTCTGTTTCTCTCTGCAGTTGATCGGTTTGGGCCCCCACAACCCCAAGAAGAAGCAGGACCTTGACAAGCTTTATGATCTAAAAGCTAAAGCCCAACAGATTATGAACCAGTTTGGCCCATCTACCTTGATCAACCTCTCCAACTTCTCCTCCATAAAGCCTGAACCTGCCAGCACCCCCCCTCAGAGCTCCATGGCCAACAGCACCGCCGTGGCAAAGATGCCCGGCACGCCGAGCGGAGGAGGGCGGCTCAGTCCTGAGAGCAACCAGGTAAACTCAGCCCCAGCTGCAGGGGAGCTGCTCACAGCTCTTACAACTGCTCAGCAGTGGTGAAATTCCCGATCTTTTGACACATTTGGGCTGGGAGGATGCTGCCTTCTGCCCTGCAATAATCCAGCACTCACGCGTGTCTGTTTGCCACTTGAAATGCTAAAGGTGATGAGCACTGGAGCGATGGAAATACTTCCTTTGTGTCCTGGACACAAAATTAGTCACTGGAACGTTGCTTGCATTTGCCTTTTAAGATTTCTCATTATGCCTTTGTCCTCTCTTGCCAGCAGCCACACTTCAGCCAGGGGCATTGTAGTGCTGGTTTAGTGCAGGAATTTAGTCATCCTGGCCTGCTGCTCTCTGCTTTCTGTTCAGAGCAGCCACTGGTGCTTGAAAATGACTCCTTAGCACTTGATGTTTCTTATCTGCCCTTCCTGAGCTGGTGCTACGTGTCAACACGTGTGACTGGGGTCTCTGCTTTGTGGGGGAGGAGGTCTTTCGTGGCCGTGCAGAATGGGCAGTTGTTTGCTGAAGCAGCTCAGTAAATGGTTCCTCTTTTCTCTCTCACGTACTCAGGTTTTAACCAAGAAGAAATTGCAGGACCTGGTGCGTGAGGTGGATCCAAATGAGCAGCTGGATGAAGACGTGGAGGAAGTAGGTACCAACCTGTGGCAGGGGCTGCAGAAAGAGCAGATCTGGGGTTTTCCACAGTCCGGTGGCCCTTTGTCCAAAGCTGGGAGGGTTGGTTTATGTTGCACTGCCTTCAGCCATCCACGTCTCTGCTTCCCAGCGTCCAGAAAGGTTTCAGGAAAGCATGGCAAACACCCTTGGAACATTATCTTCTGAGGCTTTGTTTTCATGGTTTCAGCTGTTCAGTGCTGGTAAGAGCTCTTTTTGTCCTCTCTCTGTGGCAGATGCTGTTGCAGATCGCCGATGACTTCATAGAGAGTGTGGTGACAGCTGCCTGCCAGCTCGCGCGGCACCGCAAGTCCAACACCCTGGAAGTGAAAGATGTCCAGTTGCACCTTGGTAAGGAGCTTCCCCTCACCTGAGAGGTGGGCTCACACCCCACTGCTGGGGAGAAAACCCACGAGAAGATCCATTGCCCTCGTAATAAGGGGAAAATCTGCCCCCAACCCCATCCTCTCCAAGTGGGTGAGGTGTGCTGGCACGTTCTCTCTGTTCCAGAGCGTCAGTGGAACATGTGGATCCCGGGCTTTGGTTCGGAAGAAATCAGGCCCTACAAAAAAGCTTGCACTACAGAAGCTCACAAACAGGTAAGGAGCCCTCAGGAACGTGCTGAGAATCACCTGGTAGAAGCCTGGTGCAGGTAAGGTGCCTTTGGGCTCCTGGCAGTGGTGAATCTGTAGCCTCTTCCAAGTGGTTTGGACTTGAAGTAACTTCTGGTTCCTCGTTGGTTTGTGCAGAGGGGATTGAGTGTGGCAGCCTGGGTGGGAAGGGTTAAAAAGCAGCTGAGAGCATTTTTGGTTGTTGGAATGATGCAATGCGATGGAAAGCACGGCAGTGCAGCAGAGTAGCCAAGTCCTGCAACAAGCAACAAATGCAACAGCAACAAAGGAAAGAAGCTGCTTACGTTCAGAAGGCCTCAGGTATGCAGGGATCTGCAATGAGACACCCTCACCTCCACTGCTAACCTTTAAATAAGCTCTGGGAAGGGGTGGATCCTGGCTCCACCCTTTCCAGTCACTCAGGTGCATTGCGTGCAGCTGAGCTTCCCTGGGCTGGCCCTGCCTTGCACCAGGTGCTCAGTCACTGCTTCAAGCCATGACTTGCATTTCCACTACAACTGTGGCTTGCACAGACACCATAGGAATAATTGTAGGTCTGCAAAAGCCACAAATGAGCACAATGCTGAGAGCTTGCCCTGCCCCTCCTGGCCTGATGCTTCCTCTTCCCAGGTGGTTAGAAATCAAGGCAAGGCCTGGGGTTTTCTTCCCAGGATGCTAAAGAAGGACTGGAGGAGGCAGGATAGCTGAGGAACTGCCTGGGAGAAGTCTTGTGGCCAGTCCTGTCTGGGATGCAGCATGTGGTGCAAGTAACCAGAACTGCCACCCTGCGTTTGCAGACCCATGCTGCATGGTGCAGAGTCACGGTGGCTGGATGTGGTGTCACACACAGGAATCAGTGCTTTATGGCAGGCTTTGGCTCAGCTTCCTTGGGCTTCTTTGTACCCACAGGCCCAGGCTGCACTCATACACTGTGAGCAGCACAGGGCACCTGCTGTGTCCTTGTGTCACAGGTCTCAGCTGCCTGTCACCGTAAGGTTAAACAGCTGCAGCAGAGAACCTGCAGTCATCTGTGATTTCAGCTGTGACTGCAGCTGGGCAGCTGTTTTTTCCCCCCCTTAACTTTGCTTTAACTGAACTGGGTGATTGCTTTTGAACCACGAGGCCAGAGGTGGTGCAGGAGGAGCCCTGCAGGAGCTGTTGGAGTTCATGGCTGGTATTGCAGCTCTCCTGGAGCTCGGCTGGGCTCTGGTCCCTCCCCTGCTGCTGCTGCTCTGCTTTGTCACACAGCCTTTGCAGCCTGGGGGGCTGAGTGGGGACACGCAGACGTTTCCTTTTCCTCCAGGACTCTGAGATTCAAATGGAGCTGACAGACCTGTGTGGAAACAAGACAGGCAGCGCCCTGAGAGAACCCGAGATGGGTTGTTGTGCACAGCTGCTCTCAGGTTGTTTTGCAGTAGCCTCACCTGAGACTCAGCTTCCCACGTTCTTCTCTTTCTTCTTACAGAGGATGGCACTGATTCGCAAAACCACCAAGAAATAACGCCTGGGAGAAGCTCGAGGTGACACCGGTGCATTTTGGGATCTCTGCCTCTCACTGCAGCCTCTGCGATGCCACCCACGGGATATTTTTGTTAATGCTTTACAGAGAAGCATATATTTTTTATTAATGGTGCAGCAATATCTGACTTTGTGAGGAGATCTGCCAAAAACATTCTGTCCTCGTTCCCCCCGTAAGAGCGCAGCGTATCTCAAAGCAAAGACTTTTATTTGTGACTTGAAGGTGGTTTATCGTATAAGTGATTATCTGAGGAACAGAGCATTTGATCGTGTGTGTGGGACAGTATTAGAAGCATCTGTAGAGGTTTTTGTTTCCTCCTTCTGCCCCTCCCCGCTCCAGTACTTTGTAATGTCAGTGTTTATATAAATACTTGCGTTTGTTTTACATGAATAAAGAAATTATTAATCTAAAACCAAGGGAAAGAGGCAGCTGTGGGGCTTGCCTGGTGTCTGCGTGTGAGATCTGTGCTGGGCTGATGGTCTCTGCTCTGCAGGCAGGGCTGTGCCCACCCTGTGCTCACTGTGTCAAGGGCTCCTGAGGTGGTTCAGCCTCTGCTTGGCTGCAGGTAGGCGGAAAGTGGTGGCTGTGGATAAGAGCTGAGTGCATTCACAACATGAAGAGTCACATCCCAGCATCTGTTCTGCCCAAACTGGCACACAGCAGAGAAACTACGGCTGCTGTGGGATGTGGTGGGGAGGGAAAGGGCAGCTCTGCAGGCTCCCTGCAAAGAAAGGGAGGTTGTGGACACTGCCTCACTGCAGAGCTCGCTGCTGGGGCTCCAGGGCTGCCAGCACCCATGAGTGAAACCCCCTTTGTTGGTACTTGAGGGCTGCATCCAGCTGGGCAGCCCGGGGCATGCAGTAAGCGCGGCTGAGGCCGGTCTGACTGGTGCTCGGGAGGGAGAGGCAGCTCCTGGCGCACAGAGCTGCCGTCTGTTCCCAGGGCTCTGCCCAAAGCGTGGCTCGGTGCTGCTGGGCGCAGGACACCAAAGCATTCTCTGCTCCATAGTAAAACGGGTTTGGGACCCGAGGGCACAGGGAGGGGCTGCGCTCGCTGTCTGGGAACCGCTTTGTAAGGGGAGAGAACAGAAGAACGGGGCCCTGGCACCTCCCTTTCCTCAGGAAACGGGGCAGGCGGTGGGGTGAGCAGGGGGCTGTTTAACGCCATCACTCGCTGCTCCTCCTTCCTCGGCACCCGGCAGAGCCCAGCACCTCAATGCCCTCCTTAGCACGCACATTTCTTCTGCTTCTCCTTCTTCGGGCACGCTGCTGGCAGCGGCACGCTGCTCTTCACCCCGTCCCACGCCTCGCACGGTGCCAGCAGCCCGCTCTGCAGCGCCCGGTAGATGGCCACGGTCAGCATCTGGAACGCCCGCGTCACATCGCTGCCGTCCTTGGCTGAGGTCTCGACGTACTGCACGCCCAACGAGGCCGCCAGCCGCTCCGCCTCCCTCCTGCCCACCTTACGTTCCCCCACCAGGTCGCTTTTGTGTCCCACCAGCAGGAAAACCACGTGGAAAGGTTGGATGGTGTCTGTCACCTCCCGGTGCCACCGCCGGACGCTCTCGAAGGACGCGCGGTTGGTGAGGTCGAAGAGCAGCATTGCACCCGCAGAGTTGCGGTAATAGGAACGGGTGACAGACCTGGAGAGCAACCAGAGGTGGGGTGAAGGGATCCCCTTCAGTTGGAGCATCCCTGCCCCACCGCCCTGCCCCCCTGCGACCAAGGAGAACCGGATCCTTCGCTGTACCGATCGCCCCAGGCGGCTCCATCACAACGTGGCGCACGTGGAATGGAAGCATTCCCATCTCAGATGTATTTTCTGGGGGGGTGCAGCCAGCAGCACCAATTTGCTCTGTTTCCCAGTGGGACAAAAGGCAAACCGGCGCCACGCTCTGCCCATGGACTCTGGGATGCAGGGAAGCTGCTCTGCCCTGATCCCAGCAGGATCCCCAGCCTCTCCCCCGTCCCCCTGCAGCTCCAGGGGCCCATGGGCTCCTTTGGGCCCTCTGCACTTGGATGCAGGGCTCAGAAGAGAATCCTAAGGGCCACCTGAGGGCAATGCCTTTAGCAACAGAGACACAGCCCTACCGGGGCGTCCTCGGGATCCCAGCCCACAGGAATCCACCTCCCCCTGCCTCCCCGTGAGCAAAGCAGGACCCACCTGAAGCGCTCCTGCCCAGCCGTGTCCCAGAACTGCAGTTTGACCTGCAGCCCCGGCTCCAACTCCACGAACTGAACGTAGAAATCCACCCCCACCGTCTGATTGACAGCATCCAGGAAAACCCCCTCGGTGTAACGCCGCAGCAGGGACGATTTGCCCACCGTCGAATCCCCCAGCACGATCACCCGGAACTGGTAATGCCACCGCGGCTCCATCGGCTTCCAGCACCCCGCACCCACTGCGTGCTGGGGCAGGCGCTGCTGCTCCTCCCTGGGGTGTGGGAGGCGTTCCTGGGGATGGGTGGCACAGAGGGGGGGGGGGGGGGGCTGAGGATCACCTCCCACTTTGCTCAGCTCCATCCAGCTGTAGGCACCAGGGGGTGTTTGGGTGCCAGCCGTGCTGTGGGGCGCAGCCCTGGGACGCTGTGGGTCTTTAACTGATGTGGAGATGCGTGCAGAGCAGTGGGTGATTCTCTCAGCGCCTCCTAAAGCAGAGCACCTCCCCCTCTCCCCCCCCCACAATCACAGCTGTGGGGCACCAGCACTTGGCAGAACCTTTATCTCCATGCAGGAAACATTTGGTTTTGGGTGCTGACCCTTTGCCAGCACTTCAGGGAGTCCCACACTACAAAGCCTGGCCCTGCCAAGCCTCTCACCACCATTGGGAGGATGCTAAAGCACAGTCAGGAGCTCAGCCTCAACTCCACAACACCCAAAAGTTGTCTGCACAGCCCCACAAAGCCTCCTCCTATCCCTGCCAGGCAGCCACGCTCACCTCTGCTGCACAGGGAGTCCTGGGGCCCCTCAGCATTCTTTAGGGAGCCTTCCATTGGAATCTCCTCCCAGCCAATACCACCAACACAACCCCCTCCTGTGCTCCAGGGCTGCACAGAGAGCTCAGAGACACACAATGAAAGAATGCAACCATCGTGGGCAGCTGTCGTGTATAAAGGTGGCTCTTTATGATTCAATATTAATGAAGGAAGTGCAAACCTGTATTTCATGGTATCTCACAATCGTTCTCCAAAGTCACTCTGATACACAGAGCACAGATTCAGAGGAGCAGGTGGCTGCTGCTGTGACAGCCATTTCAGTCCTACAGCTGTAAGGGCTGTAGCAATGGCTCAGCCTCAGTTTATCTTTATTCCCTGGAAATCTACTGAAGCAAAATCACCACCATCTTCACCCCGTGGCAGGAAAAACTCATTATGCCGTGCGTTCTAAGGCCAGCAGCAAAGCCCTGGTCAAACTGAGAACTGGAGCTGACTTGAAGTCCTGGCTTCCATTCAGAACACAGCTCTCTCTGTGCCTGAGCCTCAGTTGCTCCAGGGGGCACCACAGGCTTTCCAGGGCGTCCCACTACTCCAAGGACTCCCCTCCAAGGCCACAGCAGATTACACCCAGAGCTCCGTGGCATTTAGGGCACCCTAGAGACCTTCCAGTGTGCCCTAAGGGACAATCAAGACCCCCATGGTACCCGAGGCCCCACTAGAATACCTTCAGAACTCCTCAGTGCCCGAGCTGCTCCTCAGCACAATCTAGCAATCTCCAAGAACCACTCAATGTGCTCCAGGAAATCCTCCAGTGCTCCCACAGCTCACCAGTGAGCTCCAGAGGCTTCCTAGAGACCCTGGAGGCCTCCCACAGCCACACACCGTGTTCCAGGGCGCTGTCACAGCTCCTCAGGGTGCCCTCAGGTGCCCCAGCAGCTTCCCAACGTTCCCCCCAGTGCATTCTAGAGTGCAGCAGAGTTCATAGAGATTCCCAGAGAAACACCTCCTCAGTGCCAAATAAAACACGTTGAATGATACGAGGTCCATCCATGAAGTCTTAAATTTATGGCAAGAAACAAAGGCCATTCTGTCATGCAATCATGATAATTAGTGAGCTAAGAAATACCCAGGAGAGAGTAAAACCAGCCAGCAGCCTTCGGATGCGACTGCAGGGTTTCGTCACTTCCTTCCATTTGATTCTCCCATCAGGTTAGGCAAAGCTATCAGGAAGACAGCCTTCAGTGTGAACCCACGGCCTGCCAAGCACAGAAGACCTGGGAAGCATTGCTCAGCCTTCTCAGCAGCTCTGCACCACGCTCCAAACAGGAAGAATTGCACGTGTGACCTCTGTGGAAATGGTGATCATTTATATTGCAACAAAAAAAAGTAAGTTTTAATGTGACTTTGAGTAGACAGAAAGAACATCATCCAGCAGCACTCACTGCACTCTGTAGAAGATCCTTAGCCAGCCATCAACACCAAAATACAGAGGAAAAGGAACTTCCATCTTAAAAAGGGTTTTTTTTTTTCTTAAATGTAACAACACCTGGAAAACATGTCAAATCCAGAGGGTCTTAAGTGTCCAGTGCAGAAAATTCCTAATAAATAAAAGTGGCAAAAGGTTCAATCCTTAGGAAGGCAGCTACTGTAGAGGAAATTTTGTGAGCTTAACACTTTTGCTTACGGAGCCGAATGACCGTAACATCATTTCTCCTTCAGAGTCAGATCTTCCTCCTTCAGGGCAAATTTTCTTCTCAAGACTTCTGCTATCAGAACAGCAGGGTCTTCCTCCTTCGCAGAACTTCGGGTTCTACATGGAAGACAAACACAGGGTCAGGAAGGAGAAGGGCCCAGCTGCTGGTATTTCTGACACCTGCAGGTATTTCTCTGCAGCGTTCTGCGTTGGCTTCCATCACCTGCAGCTCCTTGTGCTGGATGAAGGGGGCATTCTGCAAACCTCAGCATTCAAACCTCAGCATTTTTGGTCAGTTGTGTTCATGGCACCAAAAGCAAAATACAAATTTGCCCATTATTAACAAGCTCTGTCCCCTCAGTACAAACATACAAGTGCTGCTTCTTTTGTCTTTTTGTTCCTTTTCTCTTACAAATAGATCATGTACTTGCAAGGCCTATTTCAGTTACTTAAAAGCTGTTATCTCTCATAAAGCCATTAAGTTGTAAAGCCATTAAGCTTATTTTGATTCCTTAGGGCATGCAGTCTATCCACATGGTTTAGGACAGACTGTAAAAGTTGAAGTGTCAATATTTTGGAGGTAACTGTAGCACACAGCTGCTATTGCTGGCCTCCAGCCTTGTGAGCAGTGTTTTATCTTAACCTACCTGGGCTGTTCACAGCCCTGCTCACCCCCTGCATCCCTCATGGGCAGACATGACACTACAAAGAGATGCTCCCCCCCAAATTGTGGGCATACAGCAGCACCAACAGGCAGGTGAATACAACAGCTGGTGCTGGGGAGCAATGGAAGGCAATGCTAATGCCCTCTACCAGGACAAGAGCACAGTTATAAGAGTATTTGTTAAGATTTAGCCTAGAAAGCAATAGGGAACGTGGCTCACCCTTTCTAAAGGCTGGTGACAGCTTGAGAAGAGCACAGTCAGCACAACCTCTGAAGAGAGACGTTGCTCCCTTGGCTGCTAACACTGAAATGAGGGTAAGGAGGACCCAGGGTCCAGCCCTTCCAGTCACTCAGACACACCGCTTGCACCTGAGCTCCCTCTGCAGCCATGCCTTCTCACCTGGTGCTCAATCACTGGTTCAGGCTGTGACCCAGCAATCCTCACACAGGTGTCTGCAATGATCTGACAAACAAAAGCAGAAAAAAAGAAAAAAAAAAAAAGGATGCCAAACTTTGAAAGAGAAAATACAATCAAACTTACAAGTCTTTGCTCTGCTTCATCCTATGAATGTCTTTTAGAATGCCCATCATGTCTGCAAAACTGCTGGCCTTGGAAAGAGACACAGAATCCTCCTCATCGGGATCCTTTGGTTCTGCTTTGTAGCACTCAGATGCAGAACAGAACATGGAGACTGAGGGAAGCTCGGGGCTCTCGAGTTCTGCCTCCTCCTCTGTGATGTCACTGATGACAAAGGATGTCGTGGATTGGAAAGAGGGTCCAAAGCAATGCAAAGGAGAAGATGCATTTGAACTTCCTGGAGACAATACATCAGGGGTGAAGGAAGCAGAAGCTGAAAGAGAAAACAGGACAGGCGAAAAGATTAAATAGTATTTTATATTTTACTTTGGTTTTGTTTTCTCAAAACAACAGAGCACAAACCAGGGGCACCACGAGCCACCCACCCTTCTGTTATTTACAGAATAAAAGTAAGGAAATCATCACAGCCTGTGTGTTACTCTCCATGGCCACTCCATTTCTTATGGCATGGCACTGCAGCGCAAGACAGAGATGTGCTTGGTTTATTTCTCACTGAAAGAACCTTCCTACACTGAAAAAAAACCCAACAAAACAACCCTGCAGTTTAATGCCCTGACACCTGTGGCCTCAACACTATGCCTGTCAGTAGTTATTAATTGCCAGCTGAGAGATTTCTTTAACAGTGCAAAAGCAGATTGTACAACGTTTCTTTTTTGACATCAATCTTTCTGAAACGAGCCTGCTGTGCACTCCAGATCCCTGAGCTCCAGTTCAGCCCTCACCCATTCCTGCCCACATCAACTCAGAAGACACTGATAAGAACAGTTCTCACATGCCATCTGCTGAGCAGGCACGTTGCTGAGTTGAGGGCAGAGAGGAACTGAATGATTAAATGAGTTTTCTCCCATCCAGATCTCTAATCTTCCTCATCATTACTTTTGGTGAATTTTAGCCCACAGTGTGCCCAGGTGGCCAAGAGGGCCAACAGCATCCTGGCCTGCATTAGAAACAGTGTGGTCAGCAGGAGCAGGGAGGTGAGCATCCCCCTCTACTCAGCACTGGTGAGGCCGCACCTTGAGTGCTGTGTTCAGTTTTGGGCCCCTCACTGCAAGAAAGACATGGAGGCCCTGGAATGTGTTCAAAGGAGGGCAACAAAGCTGGTGAGGGGTCTGGAGCACAGGGCTGATGAGGAGAGGCTGAAGGAGCTGGGAATGTTCAGCCTGGAGAAGAGGAGCTCAGGGCAGACCTCACTGCACTCTGCAACCTCCTGAAGGGAGGCTGTGGTGCAAAAGGGTCTGGCCTCTTCTCCCAGGCAAATAGTAGGACCTGATGAAACGGCCAGAGTTGTACCAGAGGAGGTTTAGGTTGGATATTAGGAGAAACTTTCTCTCTCAAAGGGTGGTCAGGCACTGGAATGGCTGCCCAGGGAGGTGGTGGAGTCGCCGTCCCTGGTGGTGTTCAAGAGGCCTGGATGAGGAGCTACGAGATGTGGTTTAGTGCTTGTGGTACTGATAGGAATGGGAGGGGGGTTGGACTGGATGATCTTGCAGGTCGTTTCCAACCTTGTGACTCTGTGATTCTGTAAAAAAGAGCTTTTCTAACTTGCATGCTGGACGGCTGAGAGCCTGGGGAGGGGAACAGCAGGGAAATCTGCCCTGCTCTTAATTTCTATTTCTTTGTTGCTCCGAATCAGAGCAGTGAGGGAAGGGGACACGCAGCCCCTGTGAAGCACGCATCTGTGACAGCCTGACAGCCTGCGGAGCCGAGGGCAGCGCGGCTCCTCGCTCCCGTGCACAAAGCAGCATTCCACCACGAGCCCCACAGCTCTGCTCCACGTTCAGAGCTTCTCAGCCGCAGAGAACAGAACTGAAAATGACCAACCATCAGAGCTGTGAGGCCCTGGGGCTCCAGCCATCGGCCGCCTGCATTCCACACATCACCAGATGCAGCCCCAGCACACAGTGAGCCCTGGTGCTGAGAGGAACCTGGGACCTGTCTGCTGCTGGATGCAGGTAAGGATGGTTCTGAGCCACTGTCTCCCCCACCAACAGCTGCAGGACATCAGCTCGAGTGGTGCACGACCTTGTTTTGTTGCTTTAAAGTAATGGGAAAATTACAGATCCTTCTTTTCCTCGCAGCTGTAACACAACTGGCATCTTGGGCACTGGCCAAAATATTCTGCATACATGAGATGCAGCCTTTAAGAACTGCCTCCAGTTCAATTCCTGCAGCTCGCAGAACTGTTTGTTTACCAATGTATTCCAAGCTGTGAGACCAACCATCCCACTTTCTGACTGCTCCACAAATATACCCAAGTACTTCTGGCCTTGCTGGCTTCCACACTCAAGCAGCCACTGCAGCAACACACCTCATGCAACTACTAGGATTTGGGTTCTAGCAAGTATCTTCTCATTTCCAGAGCTCATATGAACTGTATGCACCCTGTATACCCACACAAGGAAGGCCACGAAAGGAAGAATGAACTCACAGCTCAGTTTCATGGCCAAAACATGAATTTTATCACGTTTCCTAAAAGAAATAATAATTAATAAAAAAAAATAATAGATCAGATCAACCACGCTCTTCCCCAAGTACTTTCTTTGTTACATAAATAGGGCTATGCTCACAACAGAAACAAGTGCTGTTGGTCTCTCCTCCCCTCACACTCATAGTCAGCTTGGCAAGAATACCCCATGAACTGCCATGGAGCAAAGTCGTTGGGATGGAACAGCCTGCAGAACACATGCAGTCACAAAGCAACACCTGGTCCTTCTGAAAAAGAAACAAGATTCCTAACGAAACAAATGCAGACATCTGGACAAAGAACCAGCACTGAGTTGGCATCACACCAGTAAGAGTGACAGGCCTGCTGAACAGTAACAAGTTTGCTCCCTATGGAGGAAATAACATGCTTCTCTCCTGCAGCCCTTCTCATTTGGCAGAAGAAAACTCCTGTGCTCCTACCTGGCCCCGCAGCGACAATTTTAGCTATCTGACTCCGAAGGTGACTCAGCTCATCCTGGAGCTCCGTCGTTCGGCTCAGTGCAGGTAAACCAGGCTTCTTCAAGGCCAGCAGCTTCTCTTCCTGCTTCCTCAGGTTGGGGACTGAAGCATTTCGCTGTATGACCGTGAAGGGACTCGGTTTCCACTTGTGTTTCAGAGGGCGAGTGTCGCTTCTACGAGACAAAGACCTGCCAGTCACTGATGGACCCGAGCCCCTCCGCAGCAGTGCTCAATCTCCCTGCCCCTCCCTTGGGATGGCAAAGCAGTTCAACACAATAAATCAAACCGTGCTCCACACCTTGTTTGGATGTGCTGTGCCATCACACCGCTGTCCCTCTGCGTTGCAAGGAATGGGAAGTCAAAGAAATCACCATCAAACAGCACAGACAAGGCGAAGTGGCACAGGGACAGAAGTCTCTGTGTGCTCCCACGGCTTCAGATCCCATCCCTCCTGCTAACTGCATCCCCGTGCTGGGCAGTGTGCTGGGTGCACAAGATCAAGCACCACTTACCCATTAACTTCTGCCTCTGGTTTAATCTCTCACAGGATAACCACTGCTGTTGTCCTGCTTAAAGGACACAGGTTTCACTGAACAGCACCAAACTCTAAATGTCCCAGGAAAACTGGGACTCACTTGGAGTGCACAGTGCTACAACAAGAGGCAGTGAGCACTAATTGGAGCACAGGAGGCTCCATCCAAACATCAGGAAGCACTTCTTTACTGTGTGGGAGATGGGAGACGGAGCACCGGAATGGGTTGCACACAGAACTTGTGGAGCCTCCCTTCTTGGAGATGTGCAAAAGCCACCTGGGGTACACTGCTGGAAATCCCTGCCTGAGCAAGGGATGACCTCCAGAGGTCCTTTCCAATCTTAACTACTCTGTGATCCTGTGAGCTCAACCCTTCAACTCCCTAGGCTGAAAAATACCATGAGCTGGAGCCTTGCTCTGCTCAGATGTTTCAGTGAGTAAAACGCAGCACAAGCCCTTAATGCTTTGTGAGCATTCCTCCAGGAAACCTCTGTGTTTTTCTTGCCCCTTGAGAAAAACATCTTTGAACAGGCATCACATCAGCCCTCAAGGTGACCAGAGATCATGAGAGCAGATCAATTTCTGGCCTGTGCTACGCAAAAGAAACCTCTTTATCAAAATAAGGGTCAACAGACACAAAGATGAAACCAACCTGACTCGGGCATACGTTTCTTCATCATCTGCTGCTATCCACCCAATGTCTGCCAGGGTGGGGACAGGAGGGGCATCATTTAAATAGAGCTCTGAAACATTAGGTAGAACCTACAAAGAAGAAAATCACATGCAGGTAATGGTGGTCCTGTCTCCTGAAGCCACTCCGGATTTGTTACACTCTGTCAGAGCTTTTCTCCTCTACACCAAGCCAGCCAACAAGTTTGCAACACTGTTTATCCTATGGAAATGCAGCGCTCCACTGCCAACGTGTGCCCCAGTGTTACTGTGCTCTGAGTCTAAACAGCAAAGCAGCCAAGGGATATTTGATACTGCTGAACAGGCTGCCTAGGCCACGTGCAACACTTTGTCATTACACGTCCTTGACCTCAAACAGTTACACAAGTGCTTCCATTAGCCTTCCTTACTGCTTAGGAAACAGGCTCAGCAGCTGCACGAGGCCACAACACAAAGCAGAGGTTCAGCAGCACGTTTCTGCCTTCCTAGCTACCAGCTCTCCAACTCTGCACAGGCATTATTGTAGGAGGTGCTTTCCTCAACGTTTACCAATGGTCATTTACAAGCACAGGAATTACACTAAAAGAGAAAAAAAAACCTTACAGTTAACTATGCAGCTACACAAAAGTTTTGCAAGTGTTGGTCTGCACACACCTGGTTCATGGTTCAGCAGTTCATGAGTGACACAAAGAGATCAACATGTAAAAGCAGTTCAGATACACTCCACTTATAGTAAATAAGTGCTCATCTGCACCCAGAACAGTTTAAGCAAATCGTCCCAGCAAGCAAGCTTGCCACAAATTACCCTTATTTTTTTCTGTCTGAATGGTGTGCTGGCACTGAGCACAAAGACACATCAAAAATGAAGACCTGATCCACAATCTGTTAAGAGAACTAATGGGGACTGACATCTGGAAACAGCTGCATGTACATTTCTCCAGAGGCTCTATCTTAAAGAGGAGAAAAGAAGCTGCTTTGATTTGTCTTCTATGCCAGTGAGTATGGAAGGGGAATAACGTAAGTCATATCTTCCATTTGTTTGGTTGTTTTTTTGAGACACCATTAACTGAACACTGCTTCTGCCTGCAGTGTGCTTTTGGTATACAACAAGGAAGTTTCTCCTGGTGGAAACTATGCTGGAGGTGTTCAAGGCCAGGTTGATGGGGCCCTGGGCAGCCTGGGCTGGTATTGAATGTGGAGGTTGGTGGCCCTGCGTGCGGCAGGGGGTTGGAGATTCATCATCCTTGAGATCCCTTCTAACCCTGGCCATTCTGTGATCCTGTGAGAGTGCCTTGTTTTGCTCCCTACCCACAATCACCAAACTCCTTGTGAGCACGCTTACCTCGAAGGTCGCTCTGGGGCAGGGCTTTAAAGGGAGGTTGGATCCAATCCTCCTGACGACGCTGCGCGCCGAGCCGTGGGGTTTGTTCTGCCAAATGGGGATTGTCTGAAAGAAGCCATGTTGCACAATTAATATTCAAAGTCAGCTGTCCTCTTTATGACCTATTAAACTGGGAGCTGTCATACGTAATCTGAGCTCTGATTTTCGATTTGCTTGAAGATAGTTTTAATTAGGAATATGAGAACCTACCAACAGCTAAGGTTCTAATGCCATCAAACTGTGCTTTAGTCGAGCAGCGAGTCAGTTACTGAGGGGCATTTTAAACACAAGTGCACTGTTTCAGGACTGAAAGCTACAAGTGTTCAGGAACAGACACTGAGCAATACATAAAAACATGCTGAAAGGAGGAAAACACTGTTACGTGAATGGCCCAGAAGAAAAATGAAGCCAGAAATCACATTTAAAGGAGGTACCTTTAATTCCACAACCTTTAAAAGCAGTGCTGACAGAACTGTGAACAATTCTCAAACAAAGCATCAAGTCCATTCAATGTCTAAGCAAACTGAGGGCCCTCAATAACAGTCACAGGGAGAATTTCCAGAATCAGTGTTTTTGCAATCGCTGGCTACTAATTAAACTGATTCAAAACAAGTTCTGTCTCTCTTTGGTTGTTCTCCCTCCCCCAGTTTTACAGCTCTGCCATTGGCTTTCTGACAGGACACTGCACAGCACCGGGCATCAAACACCACAACGAAAGCCAGGAATCCAAACAGCTTATTTTGCTCAGCTCACCACCAAACCCATTAAGAATTTATCACTGCCATTTGCTACGCGCACAAAGCCTACAAGCTAACCTTAAAATAGCAGTTACATCACTGTACTGAAAAGTCCCCGTGCTTCGAACTGAACGCCCGGCAGGGCAGCGCGCGAGGAGCGGTGCCAAGAGCATCGCGGAGCTGATGGATCGGTGATGGCGGTACTTACGGACTCCGTTGCCATATCGGGCACCGGCAGCTCGTCAGCGGGGCGGGATCAGGGCTGCGTGCTGCGGATCCCGGGGACGCGCTCCGGCCTCATGGCACGCCGCTCGGGGCCGCGCCGCGGGCTTCTCGCTACAAGACAGCAGTCATTGCGCTGCAGGGCTGCGCTCTCCCGCACCGGGGCCGCGCCAGCAGCGACCGAGCCGGGCCAAGAGCGTCCCCTGCGCGCCGCCGAGTTCCGGCGGTGCCGCCTGGCCGCTGCCGGCACGAAGCGGCGCGGTCACCCAACCCGATGGAGCAGAACGCGCCGCTCCCGCCCGCCGCCCCGCCCTCACCCAGCGCTACCTGAGAGCGGAGCCGCGCCGCGCCCAGCACCGCCCCTTCACCGCCCGGAAGTAGAATGCGCACCGGAAGCGAAACTCCTCCGCGCACTTCCGCTGCGGCTCCGCGCGCATGCGCCGTGGGCCCGTAGGCAGCACGTGGGATGGAGCGCACCCCCAACACCCCACCCGGCGTTCTGCAGGCAAGGACTGAGCGAGGCTGAGCTGGTGGGATCGGTTTAAGGAACGCGGCTACAGGCGGCCCGGACAGCCCGTCGCACCGAGCGGCACCGGCGCACGCAGATCCAGAGGCGGAGCAGCGCTGCTTTCCCACGAAGTGCTGCTGGCAGACATCAGCTCTGACCCGTTTGTGGATTTAAGGCCAGAGCGTCACGAAGCACAGGAGATCGTGAAAAGCAGCATCGCCCTCCCCCTTTGGAATATCACAAGCTTACTGAAAAATATAGTAAGATTACAAATATAAGAGAAAACGCTGGCACGTATTAAAAAAAAAAGTCCTCAGCTAACAGTTTCTGTCCAGAGCCCATTCACGGCAGCGGATGGAAGGTGACAGGTTGATTGGGATGTCTTGTGGTTCATGAGATAACACGAGGACTGTGCTGAATCCAGGATTCTCCACATTGCTCCAGGCTAAGGATGGCTGTCTGGGCTCCTGCTTCAATTCAGCCGAATCCCTTCTTGCTGTGCTCACAGCACCAGGGAGAGGGGCTCTGGTCCCTCCTCTGCCTGCTGCTCCCTAGCTTTGCAGAACTGCTCCTATACCTGATTCCCCAAGCCTTGAGGAGACAACCCTGAGTTGTTTCAGCCACTGCTTTCTCTGGCCCCTTCTGCTGCAAAACCAGTCGAAAGAGAAATAAATGGAATGAATACACGTGTGCTGCTTTGAAGTCTGCAGCTCCAGACTAAGAGGCTAACAAAAAGTGAGAAATGAACAGAAACCCTCAGGTGAAGCTCCTGCTGTAAAAGCTGTAAGCGCAGATAACACTAAAGCAGTGCTTCCCAAGGTGCTGGATGGAGGTAGGCACTGTGCTCTGTTGCTCTTGCCTTGATTCAAAGTCCCCAGAAGGGTCAGAGGGGGCTGAGCTGCCATGGTGACTTGACTCCTGGTCTCTTTAACGCTGTCTGGAGGCTTTGACACTTTCCACAGCCACCACTGAAAGCACTGCCTATATGTAATCCAAACCTGTAATTACTGCAGGCCACTTGGAGGGTTAGAAAAGTGTGGAACTAATGCATAGTTAAAAAGCCAATACTAGGAAACATCCCACAGGTAATTAATCTCACTTAGAGCAATTAGCTACACTACACTGAGTTGTTCAGAGGTCCATCTAAACTCAGCCTGATGACCTCCAGAGATCCCTTCCAACCTTTTCCCTTCTGTGTTTCTGTGAGTTGTGACCCCAGCATCCCTTCCAGGTCCTGATGCCCAGAATGAAAGCACCCCCCTTTCCCCTAACTTTGGATTTGGTCCAGCAAAACTGTGCTTCAGAGAGCAGAAAAAGTATCAATTGGAAGGGCTGCTTGCAGGCATCTTTTGAAGATGGTTTGTCTCACCTATCTACAGGAATGTGCTTAGAACACCATTTCTTTTACTTTTCCTTCCCTAAATTTCACTCACTGTGCAGTCAGCCATTGGTACAGAGGAGGAACAACTGCTCAGGATGTTTATAGACAAGAGCAATTGGCGCTCTGTCCAAACAGTTCCCTCCCCGGAAAATGCTCCTGGCAGTTTCTTTAAAACTGGTCCATTCTAAACCATCCAAAACTCTCAGGATAAGGCTGAACCTCCCCTTCCTAAAGGTAACTTTATCACGGTTCATTATTCAGTATGACTTGAGAAATCAGAGCAAACATGCACTGAGTATTTTGTCACTGCTGCCAACACACTGGGAGAACAAAGCTCTCAAAACAGGTGGGGTGGGAGTAGCTTTGGTCTGAATAGGATGGGGGCACAGTTCAGTACAGCTCCCATCGCCTGTAGGCACTCCCTAGGACAGGTGGAGCTCACTGCCAGAGGCTCTGGCCCTTATTCCCCAAGTTAACCCATACCTGACATCTCCGAGCTGCACCATACCTCCAACGCCCCATTCTCCACTCCTAGTTGCACCACATCAACCTCACCATCTCCATCAGCTGCAAAGACTGTGAGCGATACAGCTCTTGCACCACGTCGCTCAGGATAACCATCCCAGGAAGCTGGGAGGAGGCTACTTCAGAGATCAAGCTAGATCTTCCTACTTCCACGCCCACACATTATCAGCTACAGTCCTTTACACACAGGTTGCCACTGCTGTCAAGAATGCTGTCACAAAGAACTGGGATCCACGCCACAGAGCAGCTTACAGCTCAGTGCTGCTGGCAGGAAGCTCTGCACACACCAGCTGCCCAGGGAAGAGCTTGCTGTCTGCACTGGATTCTGTGCACTTGCCCACACAGCACGGATGTGCATCATGATTGTTCAGTCATCACAGCAGTGCTGTTCTCTGTAACTCAACACATAGTCCTTGAGATCAGATGTTTCCTGTTGAGATTGGTATGGCTGTAAAAAGAGTTTCATCCCAGAGTCTGAGCAGGAGGAGGAAGAATATGGGGGTGGGTGGCAAGATGTATGCACAAAGAATGTTTATAGATCCAAGTATTTTCACTCCTGTAAAAACTTGCCTGAACTCAGAAGGGCAGATGACATAAACTGGTATCACTTGGAAGTTTAGCCTTGAACCAACATCTCCAGATCACCCATGGAAAAGCCCCCATTCTGGAATTGTCTGCATCTTAACATCAGTGCATGGCACAAAGATGAGGAAGAACTGCTGCAATCGAAATGGATGTCTGAAGTGTTTGGCCAACTCCATGAGGCATTCAGGTGCCTTTGGTTTTAGTTCTGCAAATAAGCTTTTGCTCTTTGCAGTCCTTCCTTAAGAAACTGGAGGTAAGTTGCAGTAGAAGGGTCATCAAAATTGGATGAGAAACTAAAGATACTACTTTCAACATCTTCAGGCTTCATAGAAGTAATATCCAGGAAGTAGTTGGCATTGATATGGTGAATCTAGGAGAGAAAACAGATGAGAAGACTTTAAAGGCCAGCATAATCTCCCATCCACTGCCTTGGCCTCTAGCCATGACACAAGACTGCAACAACTCTTAAAGAATCTCAAACACTTTGCAAATGCTAATTCAGCATTGACGATTCAGGTTTCTATTTCACAGTCAGACAAAGATGAGCAAAAGACAACGGTCCATTCTTTCCCTTGAGGGTGCTGACCCCTCATATAGATTAAGAAAAATACAAAGGGGATTGGGGAGAAATCACACAGGTGTGAAACTTAGCAACGAGTGCAAGTCAGCACATGGCAGCCCAGCCATGCTGACTGCTGGGATGCATGCTATCAGACCAGCCTACATGCAAAACCAGCACATGTGTTTAAAATGCCTTCCATTCCCCAAAGGAAATAGGAGAGGGGCCCACAGAGTCACTGCATCATCCACGAGAACAACACACAGTCCTACAAAGCATTGAGGAGCCACAGAATGGCTGAGGGAGCATGGCATTCACTTCAGGCTCTGCAGATGAGAGTACATTCAGGTGGGGAGAACCAAGGAAAATTGAAGAGATAACGATCGTACCACCGTGCCATTGGGAAGGCAGATGATCATCTCCACAGGGAAGTTGTATTTTTCAAGGTGCAGGTCAGCCAGCTTGCTGTAGAACTCATTCTCCCTGTTTGTCTGTAAAGGAACCCCAAAGAAACACACTGTATACACCGAAACTAGCAGAAGAAAGCAGGAGTAAACCTAACATGAGAGCCACTCTGTAACACGGTAGCTGCCTCCATTTTCATGATCTGCTTTATTATTCCCTTGCAAGTGTCCCCCTGCCCTCACACTTCTGCTAAGCTTTTCTCCTCCAAAAACAAAATCATCTCATTACTGGTAGTTCCCAGGCACATCAACAGTCCAACCCCAGCTTTTCCCAGCATCTCCAGCTCTGTAACTGACCCCTGCTTTCAGCAAAGGCCGAGGGATAGACTCATGAGTGGGGAAAGGTGCAGTCAGGAGATCCAGGAGTCAGAGTATTTGGTTAGTGCCTGGGTTACAGAGAAGTCAGCCTGCCAATAGCACAACAAGCCCTGGACAAGGCTTAAAGCATCTGGGAGCAGTGAAACATCTGGTTTGGTTTTTTGTGCTGCCACCATGACAGAGTGAAAGGGATGACTGTGCTATTTTCTTAGCCAGCCTCTATCTGGTGTTTGTTCTGCCTCTGGTCACTAGAACACACAAGGCTTGGAACCAAAATCCCTCATCTGCACAGGTGTGATCTCCCCTCTTCTGCCAGCACCTCTGTGCCAAGCACCACCTGCGTTCACCAGCACCAAACACAAAGAAAGCAGAGGGGCTGTGACACTCACCTGCAGCTCTTCCAGCTCCTTTACAAGTGACCAGCTGCTAATGAAGCTCTCATTCAGCAGGGCGAGGATGGGCGAACTTTCCAGGACAGTCTCCCGGAGAGTTCGCCCCGAACCTGGCACACAAAGAGGGGCAGAGAGTTGTTTGCAGCTTCCAGGCTGATTATTGCCACGATTCATGCCACTGCTGAGCTGCTGCAGCAGCTGCCTTAGGCTCCCCCTAACCTGGCACACGGTCTTATTTCCCCTCTGCTGACAGTTTTCCATTGCTAACTGCTTCCAGCATACACTGCTGGTAAAGAAGACTCACCAGAGCAGATCCCACCCACCTGCAAAACAGCACAAGGACCGGGGCAAGAATGTCAAGGGGGCTG